GGGTACCAGGAGAATGTCACCGTGGCAGAGCTCTACGACAGTCCGTGTGTGCGTGCCCCCAGCACAGCCAGCCCTGCCCAGGTGCTGACGGTGACGGGCACAGGGGACCCAGCCAGGTGCAGCACGGCCGTGCAGAAACTCTTCAACTTCAGCTGCGGGGCCCAGAGGCCGTGCGGGTTCAACGGGGTGTACCAGCCCCCCGTGCGGGGACAGTTCTTTGTAAGGAGCCTCCGTCCCTGTGTTTGGAGGGGAAGGGGGAAGAGAGAGGGTGGGAGCCTCCTCTGCCACCAGTTGTGGGAATGGGTGGGGATAGAGGCGACCCCAGAGCTGGTCCCTTCTGCAAACCTCTGCTCCTATACCAGGAGATACTTTTGCCTCCTGAGGGAATTGGGAAGGCCTTGTCCAAGGGAAGAAAACTGAGCTAGCTCAGAATGCAAGCACCAGCTCCACGGCTTGTCAGCCAGCTCCAAGACTTTCTGGTCGACCATCAAGTGGGTGCTGGATGCAGAAACCTGGGAATTACATGGAACTCTGTCCATAGGCAAGAGGGGCCCCTGAGTCTTTTTTCAGGTGATGAAGGAGATGTGGTTTTTACCAGCTTCCCTTATCCCCCAGGCCTTTGCTGGGTTCTACTACACCTTCCACTTCCTGAACCTGACCAGCCAGCAGTCTCTGAATGATGTCAACACCACGATCCTGGCCTTCTGCAAGAGGAACTGGTCGGAGGTGAGAGCCCTGTGCAGGGCAGCCAGGAGCCCTGTGCTTGTCCTGTCCCAAATCTGTCCCCAGGGAACACATGTCCTGCTGTTCCCAGGGCTAGGGAGTGTTTCTGAGCATGTGTTTCGTTCCCTGTTGCCCTGTGCCCCACAGCTGGAGCGGACCTTCCCGCAGGACAAGAAGTACCTGCACACGTACTGCTCCGCAGCCATTTACATCCTGACGCTGCTGCTCGATGGCTTCAAGTTCAATGAGCACACCTGGAGCAACATCCACTTCAGCCAGCAGGTAAACACACCTGTGGGCAGCTGCAGCCTCAGCCTTGCCCTGGGCATGTCCAAGAGCAGCATCTCTGGAGTCTCCTGTGCCAGAAATGTGTCCGTTTCATGGGCCCTCCCCAGCGATCCCAGCAGAGCTTCATTCTTTCTTACTGCTTCCAAATCTCTGACCCCACTCCTTTCTCACTTTCTCTGGTGTGAACTTAACTCATTTTAAGGGGGTCAGGGAAGTGCAGAGCAGGATTTGCCCACTTTGGTCTCTGATGTTCTCATCACAGAGGTGATGGTGGCCGATGACCCATTTGAACCAGAGTATGGCCAGGCCACGATATTTCCAGGATGAGAGAAAACAACCTCAGGTTGTGCCAGGGGAGGCTTATGTTAGATATTGGCAATTTTTTTTCACAGAAAGGGTGGTCAGGCATTAGCACAGCTGCCCAGGGCAGTGGTGGAGTCACCATCCCTGGAAGTGTTAAAAAAACTTGTGATGTAGCTCTTGGGGTCATGGTTTAGTGGTGAACGTGGTGGTGGTGCTGGGTCGATGGTTGGACTCAATGGCCTTAAAGGTCTTTTCCAACCTTAACAATACTATGGCCAGATCAAGAGGATTATGGGGAAGGAGGATAGCTCAGATCCAAAATCCTGTGCAGGTCACAGAGGCACAGCTGGATCAGAGCCATCATCCATGTTCAGCTGTCCCTTATCACTGGGGAATGGGGGACAGGAAAGCTGCTGGCAGGATCAGGTTCACCACGGGCAGGGCCACCCGTGCAGTGGCAGCTGGGGCAGCCCCCGGGAGAGATGCCTGCCAGTCCCCTGCACCAAAGCTACTGGTGCCTGGGACAGGTACTTTAGGGTGGTCCCCTCTGCTCTGTCCCTGCAGGCAGCACACACAGACATCGGTTGGACACTGGGCTTCATGCTGAACTTCACCAACATGATCCCTGCGGAGCCTCTGGAACTCGTCAAGGGTCACCAGCCTGGGCTGTGGGCAGGGGCTGTCTCCTTCATTGTGCTGGCCCTTGTGACAGGCCTGGTGGCTGCTTTCCTCCTGTGTTTCTGGAAAACCAAGTAGCTCCCAGCCTCCTGACTCCAGGCATCCTGCCCACTAACCCAGGCAAGGAAGTGGTGCAGAAGAGGTGGAAGGGGGAGAAGAATGAGGGCATTAGACCCATCTCCATTGCTCCGGAGATCTGACTGGGTCATCTCTGTGAATGTCTAAGATTACAAAGTTGTCTTGATCTCTCTGAACCTCCAAGAGGAAAAGACTCCTTTAATCTGACTGCCAAAAGCTGACTGAGACTTGGTGGCTCGATGAAGCCAGATAAATTCAAACTAGAAATAAAATCTGTTTTGTTTTTCAAATATGAATGTCATTGCCCAGCCTAGCACAGTTTCCTTGGCACTGCCAGTCCTGCTGGGCTGCTCTCTCAACAGCCCTGGGAGGCAAGAGATGGAGAGCCATGGTGGGCATCTAACTCTGAGGAGAGGGATGACATCATCTGTATCCTGCCCTGTGCAAGATGTGCAATATTTTTGTAGTATGTGACAGATGATCATCTCCAAAGACACTGTCAGCTGTCTTTAAAAGTACTGGCCTATCTCAGCAGAAAATCACAAGTGGAAGTTGATTTAAGAGTTGCCAACTCTGGCTCAGGGTTTATTTTATATTCAAGTTACACAGCCCAGCTTTGTCAAACTCCAAATCCAGAACGGGTTCCAGCTCCAGACACTTGAGTGTTTTATTTAGATCAGCAAAGCCCAGCCCAGCTCAGCTGCAGGAACTCAGCAGCCCTTTCAGTCCCTGCAGCACCAGTCAGTGCTGCACTTCCCAGCCCTCTCCCCAGTGCCTCCAGGGCTCTCCCATAGCCTGGAACTGCTCTGAGCAGTGCAGGCTTCTGCAATTCCCTCTCCTCTGTGCTGCAACATCCCACCTTGGACTTGGGGCTTAAGGAAAGAATCAAAGGCATCTGGGCTGAAGAATGGTCAGATCATAAGGTATTTGCTGTGGAAGCATGGTGATCCTAACCCATGGTGTTATCCCATTAACCCCTCTGCAAACTGGTCCCAAGAGCCTTCTGAAGGAGCAGCGTCTCTGCTGCATCTCTGCTGGTGGAGATAAGGTTGTGTGACTTGAGAGCCCAGGGAACAGGGCTCTGCCTCCTGCTCCCAGGCAGCCATCCTTGGCTTTGTTAGAGTGAGGCTCAGCTTTCCCAGCCCGAATGTGAGCAACAGGGGAGAGGGGATGAAGACCTTCACCCAGAGGAACCTCTTCCCACCCAGAGGAACATCTTCCCAGCCCAGAGATCTCAGCTGCCACATGGACAACTTCCACAGCCAAACAGCAGATCCCTCTCTCTGCTCTGCACAGACACATCTTTGGCAGTGTAAGCACAAGGTCTGGGGACAGGCTGTAGGAAATGCTATCAGACTGCTGGAACTGACCCCATGGGATCTGGGAGCAGGAGATATCCCTTGTCCAGGTTCAGCAGAGCCCCTGGCTGGCTGGGGCCTGAATGAGCTGGGATTGGTGTTTCCCATTCCTGGGAGTGCAGTTGAGCAGGAAAAGGCTCCTGTTTGCTATAGGAAGGCAGCACCACAGCTGGTCTGGGTGGCAAAGCATTTGGGGAAGATGCCAGTCTTGCCATTGCAGCATCCTTCCAGCCAGTCCTCGTTCACTGGGAAAACACAAAGGAGCAGGATGAGTCCTGGCCCATACAAGTGGGGTTACTGAGAGTTTTCATGGCTGGAATTTAACTCTGGACAAAACCCAGTGCAAGCCTGTCACTCCTGAGAGTATGAGCCTGAGACAATATGGGAGAGGCCCTGTATTCTCAGTCCCTCCCTGCAGCAGACTCCAAAAGCCTGTCCCAGGACAACCTGCAGCAGGTCTGGAGAGCTACCTTCAGAGAGGATATCCAGCACATCTCCCTTGCTGAACTCCAGGTCTCCTGGTCCCTGTGCCAGGTAAGAGTGTTGAGCCAGCATCCGGTACAGAACAGGTCTGCCCGAGTGGGAGTCTGAGTCCTGCAGGAAAAGCCAGCATGGAGATTGCAAGACAAAGCAGAGACTGGAGCCCAGCACAGCAGAGACACTTGTCACAGCCCCTGTACCTGGCAGTAGAGTGTCACCCTGCCATCTGTCAGCTGCTGCCATATCCTCCCCAGATCCTCCTCTCCCAAGACTGTCCCCAGCTCCGTGCCATCCGGGTGCCTGTAGCTGCAAGAGTTTGTTAATGCAGCACAAATCATCTCATTTAAATCCAGCCTTTGAGAAAAGCCCAGCCCTCTGCCACCCTCAGCCTTCACAGTCCCCTTTGCAGGCCAGCTCTGAGCTTATCACCTTGCACAGTGACATGGGGCCACCCCACATGCTCAGCAGAAATGGCACTGTGGGGAGTGACACTGTCACCTCCTCACACACTGACTTGAGGGCAAGATCCTAAACTCTCCTGGCTCCACTGACTGTGTCCCAGGGGTGTCACAGTCAGGGAGATTTCACTCCAGGACCTGACTCCCAGATTGCTCTGCACTGATCCCAGTTACTGCAAAGGCTGAGCCGAGTAGGAGAAAATCTGATATACAGCAAATGCATCTACAGTTTTTCCTTCTGTCCTCCCTTTCTCTTGACATGTACTGTTTTCTGGGAAAGATCCTTTTGGGCGTACAAAGCCCATATATCACAGAGTCATAGAATGGTTTGGGTTGGAAGGGACCTTAAAGACCATTCACTTCCAACCCCCCTGCCATGGGCAGGGAATCTTTCACTATCCCAGGTTGCTCTAAGCCCCATCCAACCTGGCCTTGGACACTTCCAGGGCTGAGGAGTTCACAACTTTTCTGGGCAACCTGTGCCAGGATCTCACCACCCTTATAGTAAAGAATTTATTCCTAATATCTAATCTAACCCTGCCCTCCTTCATCTTAAAGCCATTCCCCCCTGTCCTGTCCATCGAGGTCCTTGTCCAAAGTCCCTTTCCAGCTCTCTTGGAGCCCCTTTATGTCCTGGAAGGGGGCTTACAGTAGGAACAGTGTGTTATCCTCCATGGAGCAAGAGCCATGGTAAGGTTTGCGTGCAAGGCAGACTGTGCTCACACCTTTGCTGGATCCCTGCTGGAATGCCTCAGCTCTGGATAAATGTCCCTGGGAGACCAGACACAGCGTGGCTGTGTCCTCAGGGGGATGGGTGCCTGCTGCCCCATCTCTGTCTCACACCCCGTGTACCTCAGGGTGCCCCGCTGTGCCTACTGCCCCATCTCTCACCCCCCCATACCTCAGGGTGCCCCGCTGTGCCTGCTGCCCGAAGCGCTCCCGCAGCAGTGCCCGCAGGGCCGGCAGGGCCGGTGCCTCGCCCGCCCGCAGCACCACCGAGCACTCGCAGCGCGCCCGCAGCACCACCGGCCTGGCTGAGCCCGGGGAGGCCTCTCCGTGGCTCTGGGGGATCTGCTGAGAGATGTGGCACTGTAGTCAGGCTGGTCAGTCAGACTGCAGAATCACAAAATGTCCTGAGCTGGAAGGGACCCCCAAGGACCATCCAGTCCAACCCCTGGCCCAGCACAGACACCCCAACAATCCCACCCTGTCCCTCAGAGCGTTGTCCAAACGCTCCTGGAGCTCTGGAAGCCTTGGGGCTGTGCCCACTGCCCTGGGGAGCCTGGTCAGTGCCCAACCACCCTCTGGAAGAGCCTGGACTCACTGAAGTCCATGGACTAAGAAGAACCTCGACTGACTATGTCGGCTCTCATATCCAAGAGGTGACACAGACACAACCTCTCGTCTCTGTGCTGCCATGTCATGGTAGAGCATCATTAAAGGGCAGATCTGAATTTCAGAGGGGTAACCATGGATTCAAAGCCTGGAATCAAATGTTCCTCCAATGACTCAGGAAACCTGTTTCTGGGTCTGATTGCACAGGTATCTCACCAACCCAAAAATTATATGAGTAGGATCCCAATTCCTCCAGTCAGCTGGAGAGAAGCAGCCACATTCCCACTTTGTGCTGCCTTCTGGCTGAAGTACAGCTGACAAAGCTACTCCAAATGCCCTTCAAAGAGGGGTGGCAGAGCTGACCTGCAGCTGGGGGACAGAGGTTCTGCCCCCAGGTGGACAGAGGAGCGATTCCAGGGCCATCACACACAGAAGTTGGCAATGACATGGAGGTGCCTCAGAGAACATCATCCCAGAATGCAAATATGAATGAACTGTGGTACCCAGACTGACAGGGACAGAGAATGGCACATAGCAGAAGGGGGAAGAGACGGCAGGGAGTTCAAAGACAGCTCTCCCTTGCAAAGAGTGTGTATGACAACAGCAATGTGTCTGGGGCTCTTGGCACCTTGGAGGGTGGCAACAGGTCAGTGCCTTGTAAACCTCAGCCCTGGACTGCCTCACAAAGTAGGATGGTCACAAACTTGGGAGTGGAGGAGCAAAGACCACATGGGAGCCTCTCTTTCGAATGAGAAAGAGGTCAGAGGAAGGACATTTTTTCCATGATTTTGGAGCAGCTCAGGAATTTTGGAGGGTCTGGGCAGGAATCTTGCCCTTTTTGCAGCCGTAGTGTCTTGAGGCTGTACCAGCTTCAGCTGATGGAACACCTCACCTTGGAGTCCATCTGGGCACCGGCATCACTGGCAAAGGCATTTTCTCCCCCAGGAGGCTCTGCAGAACAGAACAAGAGCAGAGGAACAGCCCTGCAGTCAGCAGAGGCTGCTGGAAGCTTCAGCACACAGACGGGATCCTCAGCCTCCCCACGACTCCCTGAAGGGTGGGTTTGGGCACAGTTTCACCCACTGAGGTGGCCCAGGGACTACCTGGCTTCTGCTTCACATGCAGGCGGCTGGGAGGCACCTGGGCAGGAGGAAGGGGGATCCCATTGCTGATCTTCTGCAACAGAACAACACCAGAGAGGAGTGAGAAGACACTGGAGCCTGGACAAGGCTGATGCGTGATGGCTGCAGCCAGTTACAATTTGTGGGTGTAACCCCAGGGAGACCAGTTCACTAAATGGTTGGATGATGTAGATCACTCAGGCTCTTGTGGGCAGCAGGAGTGAGGAGAGGTTTGTGGGACACTTCCTTGGCCCCCTGGCCCTGCCTGGGTTGGTGCTGGAGCATGGGGAGGCTGCTCACACTGTGCTGAGGGCTCTCCCCAGCTTGGGCTGGTTCACAGTGAGTCATCCATGGAGCAAATGCCCAAGAGTGTGCTATGCTCAGGGATTCACTTGGAGGGGAAAAAATAATAGTAAAAAAAACCATAGCAACATCTGAACAACAACGTGCTTCAAAAATCCCTCACAGGAAACAGGGATCTGAATTGCACCTTTCCACCCTGGGTTCAGATGGAAAACGATTGGGATAATGTGTGGATGTGCCTGTGGTGGAGATGGGAGATGAAGTTTTCCAAAGTCAAAAGTGAGGTGCATGATCTCAGGGCAGAAAGCAGGGCTTGCTTAAGGCATTCCTGTCCCACTGCAGGAGATTCACCTGCTCCCACTGTGCTGGTGAACTGGAACATGTGAACACTCACCACCCTCTTCCCTGCTGCCTCTGGTGGCTGTAGCCATCTTGGGAGCAGGCTGGATAAACCCATGCCTCAGGCCCTCAAATTCCTCAGCCTATTCCAGTGGCTCAACTAATTACAGTGGGGCAGGAGAGCTGGGGCAGCTCCTTTTGTGTGTTCTGTCAGCCCATGGCAGGTAAGGGAGAACAACACCTAGACCAGGTTGTGATACAAGCTTGGCTACATGTCCAAGCCCACAGATTTTGCTGTAAAGAGATCCAGTGCACTAAAAAAAAAAAAAAAAAAAAAAAAAAAAGCCCCTTGCTCTTGACTGTTCTGTTTTTCTTGTTTAAGAAAACTTGGTCTTCAGTCAAGGGTCTCAGTGCTTCACACCCTACGTTTCTCTTACACAGTTGTTCTATCATCCTGTGATTATCTTACAAATAAATGTCCCAAATGCATCTCTTGGTCCCCCCCCTCACCCCTACTGCAAGGTTGCCAGCTCACCCATTTATCCATCCTCGAGACAGGCTCCAAGAGAGAGCTTGGGATGTGCAGCTTCTGTGGGACACAGAGCAGAGCAAAGTGAAACAGAAGCTGCTGCTGTGGCAGCCACAGCCCCAACCCCCCCAGTCCCTGTCACTGCCTGTCCCCCTACAGCCACACAAATGTGCCTGGGGGGCCTGGGGTGACACACAGCCCCCCATGTGCCTTGTGCTCAGACACTGCTGAACAAAATCCAAGGGTCCTTTTGCACCTTTCCCACTGCTGATGGAGTGGCTGTAACACATCAGACACTCACCAATCCACAGCCCCTGCTCCCAGGACAGATGCTTAGGCAGAGCATCTGTCCTGGAGCCAAGGACACCCAGGGACACCAGTCCAGCAGCATATCTGTGTCTTCTGACAATTGCTGCTATTAATTTCAACTGATCATTGTGAGTAATTGTTTGCTTACAATGCTTTTTTTTTGGTCCAGAGTCTATTATTTTACTTTTCTTGACTTTGAATTTCACCTGACACTTCACTGAGTGGTCAACCAGCACATCCAAATACTTGTGTGACTCTTCACTCTTAGCTGCAGATGCCTCAGGCTCTGCTGAATGGTTTGATTGTCTGTCATGGAACATGGCCAGCTTAAGAAGCACCATATTACTACACCTGTTACTGTAGCACTTATGAATTTGCTAAAAGTTTGTCACAGCAGATTCACTGTGGGTACATAATTACTTTGAAAAAAAAAAAGAAAAAACCAACCCTGTTCATTTATACCCACTATTTATTCTGTATTTTAACCTGTTACCAGTCCTCAGAACGCTGCATCCCTTGCTCAGACACCTCACTGATTTACAGTAGTCTTGTGAAGAATCTTTTGACTGTTTTGGAAAGACAGGCAGGTAATACATTCACTGGCTGAACCTAATCCAGGTATGCAATGGCTCTTTCAAAGAACTGAAGTAGACAGTCCCAGTTGGCTTCTGCCAACAAAAGATTTTTCATGTTGTTGTGTTTATCTATTTCTATTCAGTCTGTTTACCCTACAGTTCCCCAGTCTGCAGGAAGATGTCAGATTTGCTGGGCTTTAATTCCTTAGTTCTTCTCTAGAGCCCTTTATAAAACCTGCCTGCATAGCTGAAACCCTCCCCAAACCTCCCCAAAGTTAATTTAACAGAGGCATCAGGGTAAGGAATGACCCATCTCCTCAGCTCCCTTAGAGCTCTCAGGTGACAAAAACTGCTCTAGTTGGTGGTCCTTGGTGAGGTCTGATGTCCCACATGATTCAGCAGTAGGATCCTGGATGACGGAGAGCACGAGAGCCCAAAAGGTGCCCACATGGAACTGCAGAGGTGAATGGCAGAGGCTGGTGGGAGCCAAGTGTCAGGAAATCTCTGGTATGTGGAAATGAGCTCCTGAACTCACCTCCTGCTCTGCAGGGCTGCGGGTGACCCCGAGGGCTGTGCTCAGAGGGCCGTGGGCTCTGCTGGGGGCTGGGCTGTGCAGCCCCCTGTTCTCTCACCTGTCCATCGTGGATGGCTGTGGCCCAGCCCTCTGCTCCCCTGCTCAGCACAAACACCAAACTGCCGCCCTTCACCACCGGCTCCTCCGACTGCTCGGGGCAATACTGGGACAGGACTCGATGGTATCCTGCCTCACTGTCCCTGTGGAGACAGAGTGGGAGCACCCTTACTAACCCCAGAGTGCTTGTCCAGAACACTGCACCAATCCCAACTGCCATGTGCCAGAAGTTTCAGGGGTTGGGAAATCATGATTTCCATTGCTACGCTTTGGTCCAACTGTGAACAAAAGGAGCTTGGAAAACACTGATTTCCCAAATGTAGCTGCATTTTCATTGTACTGATAAACATTCTCCAGATCAAAACAATTATTAAACTCAGGCCCAAAGTACTGCTGGTACAATATCACCAAAACAAATTACTTTCATGGGTTTTGAACCTGATTTTGGCTCAGCACAGCAGGGCTGGGAGTATTTGGAAGCCTTGTCCTGGGAACCAGGATGGGACAGCTGAGCATCCTCTGTCACAGACCTGGGCATGTCCCACAACCTGCTCTTTCATTCCTCAGCCATAGCATGATCCATGCCTGCCTCCCAAGACTGCTGAATCAACCCCTGCAAATTGCCCAGAGACTCTTGCATGAAAGATTCCAGGGACCCACAGTGTCCTTTACATCCACACAAGTCTTTGCATGCTTGTCATTCATCCCACCCTTGGTGAGAAGTGGGTGTGGATCTCTCAGTCTTCACCCAAAGACACCAGAGAACAAAGCATGACTTTCTGAACAGAAATAGTGAGAGGAGAGTTAGACCAAGGTGGACAACACTCACCGCAGAGCATCAGCACTGGGTTCATAAAAGCCCTGTTTCTGTGGGAGAAACAACAGTACCTGTTTATAACAGTGCCTCGTCCAGCAGAGTGCCACCTTATCTCCTGTCCCTCTGAACACCACACTGAGGTATTTTGTCTTTACTCTTGATCCCTTTGGTCACTCCACACCACCCAGACAGAAGTCTGCTGCTCCACACCTTAGCAGGATGTACCTTCTGTTTCTTCCCCTCCCTCTTTACCTCATCAGGAAGCAAGTAACAAAATCTCCTCCCCCTCCCTTGGTTCGAGGAACTCCTATCACAGTGCAAAGCAGCCTCTCTGAGCTCATGCTCACAGATTTAATGAAGTACTGGGCAAAGGCATGTTGAGCCCAGCAAAGTCTCCACTGCTGGTGAAGAGTCAAAAATGTATCTTCAAGGGGCTGGAGACTCCCATCATTGAGTCCCTTCCAGCTAGTACTGAGCCCACTGCCTGGCTCTGAACATCCCCACGGAGCCAGGCTGACAGTGCGCTGGTTCTTTCAACAATACACTCTTCCCCTGATGTGTTAGGGACTGAGCCCCTGCCTGGAGCTCCATGACAGCTCCATTCCTCCTTTCACAGCTATGTCCTGCTCACCTGAGGCCTGAGAGGCTCAAAGCCAATGTACTCATCATTGGGAATGATGGACGAGATCACCTGTTGGAGGACAAAGTAACGAGTGAGTCCAGGCTGGATGAAGAGACTCTCAAACTTCATCCAAGATTATCTACTCACTCATTTCCTTCTGACATCCTAAGGTTAATAGAGCAATGTACACAGTGGAAAAGGCAGAGCTGGATTCCCAAATCAGACCACATTTTTTTAAGTCTTTTCAAGCTTTCTTTATATAATGGCCAGTCTTCGCGAGCGTAGATTTGGGAAAGGTCATTAACCCTCCGAGCCTGCGCAGTGGATTTTTTAGGTGAGACCCAGCGTGCGCTGAACTGAGCCCACCCTTTAATCCTGAGGTTCATCTGCCGGGGCCGAGCAAAGCTTGGACAGTGGCAGTGAGGTTCTCAGGACGTAGGTTTGTTTAGAGTGACCTTCTCTTAGATGGATTGCCTTACAGGGCTGACGAGCTCCATCTGCCCGGGGGGCTGGGAATCGAACCCGGGTCGAAGTGGTGAGAGTCCTGCACCCTAACCACTAGACCACCAGAGGCCCCTTTAAAAGCACATTGAATGAATTACTTTCCCTTTCCTTGATTCCTGTTAGAGCTCCTTGGCCTGTGACGCTTCTGCTGACTGCACTGGTCACAGAAAGGATCAGAGAAATTCTCTGCTGGCTTGTGTTAAGGGATGTGACAAAGCATTTGTCTCCCAAGTGCCCACCTGTCACACTGGGAATGCAGGACTGAGCTGGAAAAATGTGCTCGTCTTCAAAACGTCATTGTCAGCAAGAGGGGAACCATGGGTTCCCTGAGTACCTGTTTGGCCCTTTCAGACTTTAAAGTGACCAAAATTGGGAACGGCTCTTAGTCCCAAAATGCATTTTTGATAGAAGAGGTGGGAATTCTAACGAATTTTGGCTTCTGTGTCCCAGGTGCCTGGACTGGCTGCAAGCACTGACCACCCTGCTCCAGGGTCACCCCCAGCACAGTGGCCAGTAGCACTGTGCTCTGGAGTTGGCAGAGGTGGGATTTTAATCTGCTGCTGTTAATCTTAATGATTATGTGCCTGTTACCTTGGGTTTACCCAGGAAATCTTTGGAATCCAACTGTTCAACTTCCTTCTTCCGTGGTCTGAAAAGTTCCCCAAGAGGAACCTGCATGGGCTCTAAAAACAGGCGGTCCTAGGGCAGGGAAAGCAGATAAGGAAAAAGCCATCATCAATTGATATTAAATGAAACTTCAGAGCAGTGAAAAGCAAATCCAGCTTCCCCAGGTGTGCAAGAGCAGCTCCAGGAAGACATTGGGGCAAAAATTACGGCTATGAACTTGCCAAAGGCACTCAGGGTCAACAAGCACATGCAAACTGAGAGCTCAGCAGCCACTCCCCGGTGTGGAGTCAAGGGCTAACATGTCCACGGGATGGGTGGGAAGGAGGGCAGTGCAGGAAGGTTTATTGAACAATTTTCTAGACAGTTTTTTTATTTGACTTCAAATGTTTTCTCTGTTCAGCCACTGAGTAGCATGCTAATAGCAAATATAAATAATACGCTGTTGTAAAGTACAAATATGATGCTAAGAGATGACTAGATTAAAAACAAAGTGATCATCTCTTGAAAAGTATGCAAATAAGGAAGTATGAAGGTAGCAAACTAATGAACTGCCCAGGAAGAGTTAAATCAGAGATCTGCAAATGTTTCCTGATCATAAAGGAGTCTAACAGGAAACTATTACTTAGAAGCAGTCCTAGAAACCCTTTCACACCCTCCTTAAGCTCTACATGAGATTGGCATTAATATCTGAGCTGCCACCTGAGGCAGCTGTTCCTGAGGCCAAAGGGACTGAAAGCAGTCAGCCACTGTCACCTGAAGGGAGACTCTCCAGATCTGCACTTGTAGGGGTTCTGCACTTAAAACACTGCACAAGGCACAGGTATGAACAGAACTGAGTGCCTGAACAGGAGAGACCAGGAAGAAACTTCCACAGCCGGACAAGTCACTCCAGAAGTCTCCACTGTGGTGTTTCTGGGCCATGAAGCACCTGGGGGTGATGGAGTTCCTCGATTAGCACTGGTCTGGCAGAGCATCACCAGCAAAAGGCTGGGACTGGGTTAGGAGTGGATAGACAAGAACATCCAAATGTACAAGGATCAGCACACTCCCATCTCACAGTTCTTTGCTGAAGCCCAAAGCACATACCCAGGAACTCAGAGGTGGTCTTACCTGCACCCGCTCAAGGGCCAGGTCCAAGATTGCTGTTCTTCTCTCAGGTCTCCACACAACAGCCTTCTCTAGGGTGACTCTGGCCTCCTGCCACTGCTGCAGGTGGCACTGCACTGCTGCAGTGCTGTACAGCACCTGGAGTGGGCACAGGGGGAGGGCTCAGAGGGCTGGGACCACGACACCCCCAACATGACCTACTGAACTCAGCCAAGAAATAGGGACCAGGCACTGAAACACCACAAAAACAGCAACGAGAAAGGCACTCTGAGCAGCACAGTTGAAAAAACGTCATAATCAGAGTGGAAAAAGATAGAGGTGTGGGTGTGCTTGAGCTGCTGGCTCTGGTCAAAGCAAGGAGAGACATGGGGGCACCAGGTGAAGTGAAGAGTCTGGTGCCACACAGTTTAAATATGATCCTTCCTGCATCTGAAAGGCCAGAAAGCTTTTCTTGTGTTTCCTTCTGCATGCAACTAGGTGATATTTTTTTGTAATTCTGACTGCCTCTCATTGCAAAATACCTTAACTGACACTATTTCATGTTGTAGTGGGATGTGAATGTGCAAATTGTCACTCGTTACCCTTCAGCAGCATGTCAGTCTGTTCAGTGCTGAAGTGCAGGGTGTGGGAGTCTTGCAGACAAGGTGTTGGGGAGCCTTGGTCTGTGTGCTGAATTAGGAGTGGGAGATCTCTCCTTGTCACTGGCCAGCAGTCAGTGTCTGGGAAACCTGCTGGGCTACAGGCAGAAGAGAGGCCCAGGAACCACAGCTCGTTATTGTCTGTGATAAGGTTATCAGCCTGTGAGCTGCTCTGTGTGTCTGGCTGCAAGCCCTGCTCGGGACAGAGCTGCAGCCAACGGGATGCTTTTCTTCACTCCTTAATCATGACAGCGGGGACTGTTTGGGGGTGTGGGGAATGACAATCCTGAGCATGCACAAGAACTGCAGAGGTGCTCCCTCTTGGAGAGGCAAGGCAGCAGTTCTCACTCAGTCAGAAGTGTCACAGCCTTGCAAGAGGCAAATATTTCTGGATTTTCACAGCATACATGTATCTCCCACGAGAAGAGCGGCTGCAGCGTGAGAGGCCAGGCACGGGGAAAGTTGATGGCACAGTTCTGCTGGAGGATTATGTTTGTGTAGTTTGAAAAATGAGCTGCAGGTAGATGTAGGAGCCAGATACAGTTAAATCAGGATGCTAATCCTGAGTCTGGAGGGCCAGCACATGTCCTGGTGATGTCTGGAGTGGGGGACTGTGTGTTCACATCATGAAGGGCACAAGCCTGCCCTGGATGGCCTCAGGGCACTCCTGCAGCCCTGGCCCTTTCAAAGGGAACCTGTCACCTCTAAGTCAGCTTGGAGAAGGCAGCGCTGGCACTGAAACTGTTAAAACCAGGGGGGTTTGGGTAATCTCACAGATGCCAAGGAGAGCTTCTTCCTGCCAGGTATAAGGTGCATGAAAATTGCTGATATGCTTGACTGGAGTTACACAATAACTCGTCACTCCCACGGAATTAAAGAGTTAAATACTCTTTCCTGTAGCTGCTTTGCAACCTCTATGTGTGGACTCAGGACAGAAGACAGAATGAGCTCTCGTAGTAAAGGACAGTTTCTAGGAGTCTTTTACTTTCCAAATATTACAAATATTTACAATCAATTCAGACTTAGAGCTCTCTGAAACAGGATGGGGTGGGTTGACTCTGTGTAACAGTAAGAGCTGCAGGGTGAAGTGTCACAGAAGCAGACTCAGCCTGCAGCCCAGGGGGTAAGTCCAGGCACAGATGGAATATTAAGATCAGTTGCTGCAGTTGGAAAGTCAGGCTTTCATGCACCTGGATTTCCTAGACTCTGCATTATGACAAGTTTTGTTCTCATCTGTCTGTATTTCAACCTATTTCAGCTCTTAGAGTTGAGGAGTTCACCAAACTGACTGTAAATATTACACAGAATCCAGACTGGTTTGGCTTGGGAGGGACCTTAAAGCTCATCCAGCTCCCATCCCCCTGCCATGGGCAGGGACACCTTCCACTATCCCAGGATGCTCCAAACCCTGTCCAACCTGGCCTTGGACACTTCCAGGGATGGGGCAGCCACTACTTTTTTCTATGTGTAGAGAAGATAAAAACCCTCAGTATACAAATTCTTGTGCACTTGCTCTGAACAATTTCATTTTCCAAACTGTGTAATTTTGCCAAAATCTCCAAACATGACATTGTTTTATGACTTTTATGATTAAGTTACTTAAACAAGAAGTGCAAGCAGAAATTTTTTACTGTTCTTAGGTATGGTCTTAAAAAACTCTTGGGTTAGTAATGCCTACTGCTGAATCCCCCAGCAGAAGGGCAGGATTGCTGAGACAGGCTGACTCTTACCTCCCAGGCATAGAGGATGTGCCTCAGCCCCAGCTGCTTGTAATCGATGAAGGGATTCTGTCGTAAGTGACTGAAGGCCATGTGATAATCAGAGAGAGCATCTTCAAACCTGCAGCGCAGAGGTGACAGAAGAAACTGAGGCTAAAAAAGCTGAAGACTCTTTAAGGAGTTCAAACATAAAGCAGATAACGTCTTCTGCTCTGTAAGCCTGGGTGGGGAGAGCTGCACCAGAGCTGTGTCATCTTGTGACCAGTCCTCTCCCTGTTGGTAGACAGCACACAATGAACATGGTGTGTCTCTCCTCTGGGATTACCTGCACTGCTCTACTGACTGGGATGAACAGGAGGCTTTGATCCCTGGAACAGTCACAATTCCAAGGAGGAGAAAATGTAAAGAACAAAGACTAACCACTGCTGTGAGCTCCTTGCCCAGGCTGCTGCTGGCAGTGCTGTCCCAGCACGTGTCTGGGAGGAGTGAGGGCTGTGGGAATGCTGTGGGAACCCCACTGATGGTGAGCAGTGAGGGCATGGCCAGAGAAGTAAGAGCAGAAATTTAGAACAACTCCAAGGATAAGGAGGGAATTAGTCTGCATTTACACCAGCTACACGTCTGAAATCCAAACAGGTTCCCACTGAGGCTGCAGGTGGGGAAAGGAAGGGTCCAGGAAGGGCTGTGCAGTGGGTACCTGACCAAGGGCCAGGGAGCACAGACAGGAGAAGGTGCCCAGCTGAGTGGGGGGGTGGGAGCAGCATCTGGTGAGGGAAGGAGCCACAGGGTGCTGGTGGCCACCAGCTCTTTGGGCAGGAGGCAGGTCTGCCAGCTGTGCTGCCCCTGCAGTGTGTGTGTCCTTGGGGCACAATGCTCTGCTTCTTCTGGCTGTAGAGCAGCTCCAGTGAGCCAGACAGGGCTCCACCAGCCTGGACTGGGGCTCTGTGGGCAGAGGCACAGAGCCTGGAGCTGCCTGACAGCACAGCTGTGAGTGCAGAACTGCTCCCAGAAATTAAGGTCTGGAAAATACAGGGAAAATAACAGGAAAGAGAATAACTGAAGCTCAAAGGTAAGAAGAGATCTTCAAACCTCAAGAAAATACTTCACCCACTTCTCTGAGCAGGATGCCACTGTGATTTAACCACGGAAACAATGAGTAATCAATCCCATGACACTACTGGAGCAATCTCAATCTTTTATCAGCTGTCAGCAGAGAGTGGCAGTCAGACACTGTGGGCAGACTACATTTTTAGGAAGGCCAGACTCATGTGTGTCATGTGAAGTCACACCAAGCAGCCCAATTATATATTTTAATTCCTAAAGAAAATCTGAATGGCAACATAACAACCTGGCAGCCCCAGGAGTCTCTGTGTGTACAGGACAGCAATGTCATGTGTTAGCCACCCCTGGGGCCCCAGAGGTGTGCAGCTCTTACCAGAGATAGGACTTGCTGTGACACGGTTTGCAAGGCCAAAGCAGACCCTGTGAACTATTTAAGATTGCTGGAAGAAGTGAATTTTAGAATCATAGATCATTTAGGTTTAGTAATAAAGCATGGCTGGAAGGAGAGAACCAAAGACTGCTCTGGCTGTGCACCTCACTCACATTTCCAGCTGCAGGTGGACCAACCCTCTCTGGAAGTAGCCCACAGCCAGGGAATTGTCCTTCGCCACGGTCTGATCAAAGGCCTAAGGAGGAAAACACAGGCACATCCCCAGGCTCAGCTGGGATCTCCCCTGTCCGTGCCTGGGCACACACACCCAGCCAGCCCTGCCCCGGCTGCCCTGGCAGAGGTAGTCCCTGTGTCCAGCTCCCAGGGGCCGCACACGGCCACCAGACATCTTTCAGGTCTTGGCTCTCTATGAGCTGAGCCTCAGGTTTTTATCCCTCCTTGCTACGATGGACTGGACATTCATGAGCTACACTGGCCACCTGGCATCTTGTAGTGGGAAGACTGTGTAGCCTGGAGCAGTTTGCACAGGGGGAGCAGTGGGACGGGTCAGGCTGGGGAAGGGTGCGTGAAGCACATGATGGGAGCACACGAAAGGTACGGAGCTGCAGGGCTGCACACAATGGCCTCTAAGTCAGTATTTCTGTTTCAGTTCCATGTCTAAATAAAGGCAAGCACTAGCAGAGCTGGCAGCAGCTCGTGGCTGCTGGTTCAGAGTAACTCTGAGCTGGGAAAGCTGTGTGTCATCCTGAGACACTGAGGAGGTGTCCTCCTTCCCTTATCACTGCAGAGACTGCATGGAGATCACAGCTCCTGAAACCCAGACTTCCCTGACACTGCCTGGACAGGGATAGCACTGCAGGATGAAGATATGCAGCAGGAGGTCAGGGAGTGACTGTGTCTCCTGATGAGGTGGTGCCTGGTTTCCGTGACTCCAGAGCACACCTTACTGGCACTGTCTGCCCGCCTGTGCTATAAATGAAATAACCAACAACCAACCATTGAGCTTCACGGAAGTAGAGCTGAGCTTCTTCCCAAGCAGTGCCCATTGATTGGGGCTGAAAAGTCTCTCTTGGGCATTCCTATGACATGCTCAGTGTGTCCCCAGTAGAAACTGCCCTGCCCGGGGCCCCACAGCTCTGCCCCAGCTCCTACAGCACAGACTTAGCTCCTCTTTCTGCTGTTTAAGGAAAGGCTTATCTGCACCTCCTTACTGGGCCCTGACAGACAGACACACAGACAGATGGATGTGCAGACATGCCAGGTGCTGTCACAAAAAGGCTTTTCCTCAGGGCAGCTGCTCTTGCTTCCCAAAGGCAGCAGTTTTCCAGCACAGCAGCTTCATTTTGTCAGTCTCCACTGCAAAGCAGCACATTTATTTTTTCAAAATACACCTATCTCATTTCTAAATCCATGCCTATGTAACAGCTATTGGACACCTTCTGCCTGCTTTGATTTAAAGCTACCATGCAGTAGAGGTGTGGTTTTCACATTATAATGAGCTAAGCTCATCTAAAGCTGATTTAGCTTTAGTAAAACTTTAGGTACATTGCCAAATGTGGTTTCTAGTATCTAATTTAAGGTTTCTGTGTTCCTATTATCTCTTCACTTCCAAAACTATTCTGCAACACCTTGAAATTTCCCATTTACCTGTGTTTTCATAATATCTATAGAACCATGGAATCACAGAATCATTAAGGCTGGAAAAGACCTCAAAGCTCATCAAATCCAACCATTAACCCAGCACCATGGACTCACAACTAGTCCACATCCCCAAGTACCACAACCTCTTTAACTTCAATCTTTCTAAGTTTTCTGTGATTCACTCTGCAAAATCTTTTCCTTAAATCACTCATCTCAAACCTTAAACCCTCGCTGTGCACATTCCTGCCGGGCACGCAGGACATGGAATGCTGGATTAACTCGAGTTGCAGCATCGTCCCCTCAAAGATGGACCTGGGGGAGCCGCGCCGCCCATCGCTGTGACCGCCTGTCCCCCTGCCCGTGCCCTGCGACCCCTGGGATCCCTCGGCCCGGTCCCTCACCCTCAGAGCCGCCTCTGGCCGCCGGGCAAGCAGCTGCACGCAGCCCATGTTGAAGCAGATCCGCGCCGGAGGGTCGGGGATGGCGCCGAAGCTCTCCAAGGCCGCGTCCCAGTGCCCGCGGTCCGCCGCCCGCACCCCCTCGTGCCAGCGCCGCACCAGCTCCCGGTACGCCATGGACGGGGCTCACCCGGGGCTCACCTGAGCCTCCCTCACCTGAACCCCACCCGGGGCTCACCTGCCGGGCGGGGCGGGGACGGGCGGCCCCTCCGCCCCCTCCGCTCCTCCCCCGGGCGGCGGAGCCCGCCCGTGCCCGGGGACACGGAGGGGAAAAGGACACGGGGATGGGACACGGACCCCTTGGGGGGACACGGATCGCATGGGGGCACAGGGACCCGGGGAGTGGTCACGGACCCTGGGAAGGGAAACGGACCCAGGGATGGGACACGGACCCCGGAGGGGACACAGAACCTCGTGAAGGAAAACGGCCCCCGGAATGAGTCATGGACTCCAGGAGGGGACACAGAACCCCGGGAAGGGACACACGGACCCCGGGAGGGGACACGGACACAGGGATGGGACACGGACCCCGCGAGCCGTCGGGGTAGAGCGGCGAGGGCGGCGGCTACACCTGAGCGGGCAGCGGTGGGATGCTGCTCGCTGAGGGCAGCGGAGGGCACCTAAAGAGCCAGCAGAAGCGATCCTGGCCCGTGTCCCCGCCCTGCCGCGGCCAGAGCGCCGGTTTGGGGCTGTTTAGACTAAATGTTACGGCCACATAGCTGTGCGCGTCAACTACAGTAAGCACGGTAGGCACTCAGGTAAATACGGTAGCTCCCCTGCCCCGCCCCTCGCCCTCGCGCTGCCGCGGGCGACAGCGCCCCCTGCCGGCGCTGCACATCGGCGCCGCCGGAAAAGGAGACCGGTGGGGACGCGAGGGCTGCGCGCGTGGAGTTCCGGGGCCGCTCGGGTTTCCCGCGCGGAGCGGGGGAGCGGGGAGGGTTTGAGCGGCGGCCCGTTGTCTGAGGGCGCTTCCGGGCGGCGCAGGTGAGTCCCGGGGCGGCCTCGGCAGGGCCCGGGCAGGGCCGGGCCGGGCACCGCGCTGGGAGCGGGGGAGCGGCCCCGCACGGGGAGCCTCGCACGGGGCCACGCCGGGGGTTTCGCTCGACTAAAGCCTCCAAGTGTCCCTGGCCCTCCCGGGGCCGTGCCGGGGTCGGAGGGGGCTGGGAGGGAGCCGGGAGCCCGTGTGTGCAGAATCGCAGTTACAGTAGTTAATTACACACCTTGCAGCCCCAGAGCGGCCTGGCAGGTCACAGTGAGGTAGTGACAGATGTCAGGGGAGCCAAAGGAATCCCCGCAGTTCTGTGAGTGGGGGCTTTCAGACAGCTCAGATTTAGACAAATTGGTTGAGCTCCCCGTCGCCGATTTTTAAATGTTGTGGAAAACGGGAAAGTAAAGTCAGAATCACAGAATCGGCAAGGTTGGAAAAGACCTCTGAGGCCATCGAGTCCAATCTGTGACCCAGCACCACCTTGTCACCCAGACCATGGCACTGATGCCACATCCAGTCTGTCCTTAAACACCTCCAGGGACGGGGACTCCACCACCTCCCTGGGCAGCCCATTCCAATGTCTGATCACTCTCTCTGGAAAGTCCAACCTAAACCTCCCCTGGTGCAGCTCAAGACTGTGCCCTCTTGTCCTTGAGGGGCTGGAAATCCACACCTGGAAAGATAACGTGTTTTAGGAAAATACAGTTTGTTGACCTTATGTCAGTAGCAGGAATAAAATAAAATGAGCAGATGAAGCCTTGTAAATAATTAGATGCTGCAAATACAACAAATGTAGAGATTAAAAGCTGAACAACATGTGCTTGGCAAAGAGATTCCCCCAGTGTTCCTTCTTGAGAGGGGTTTGCAGCATCTGGCTGAGTCAGCTGATGACACACTTAGTGTCACATACTTGGAATTTTCTGAGGAATTGTACTCTAATGTGACCTGACAGTTTAATTAAATAAAGGTGGTGTGGCAAGGTGAAGTTAAATATTACCTTAAGAGCAAATCCCACATCATTTGTCAATTGTGAGCCATAAATGAGTGGGATTCAGCTCCTTCACTTCCCAGATCCATGTTCAGGTGGGGCCTGAGCCCAGAGCAGGTTTGTCACCTCCGCTGACACAGAGGCAGGTGGGCAGTGAGAGATGTTCATGCTGTGCCTGGGTGGTTCCAAGTGGCAGAAGGATCTTGGTGCCACATAAAGTCTCCAGCCTGCAACAGCTTCCACCACAGACAGAGGGGACTGGCAGGGTGGACGTGCACCAGTGACACAGTTGGAAGTTCACTGTTGTGTGTTTTTTTCTTTTTCTAGAGAAAATGGAGCTACAGTGATCATGTGTGTGCATGTGGTTGTTAGATCAGGCTGCCAGAGCATCTCCAGTTACAGGAGCTCTCCAGTGAGATAGGAAAATACTGGAGAGCTCAGAGGAGGCCACAAAAATGCTCCAGTTCTGGAAAACAAACCCTTAATGAGCTCAGTTTATTCAGGCACATCCAAGAGAAGGGAGTTCAGGAGTGACTCAGCCACTCTGGAAATCTATGCCTATGGGAAAGTTATCCCAGAGCTGGGTCCTGTCAGCCTTTCCAACAATGGGATCCGGTAACTGAGAGGCAAAGCTGCACAAATTCTTTTAAATGTGACCCAGTTTCCCAGCAGTGCTGGTGGTTCATTACAGGAATAGTTCAGGGGGAGGTTAAAGGCCTGTCAGTGTCTGGGGCTCTTCAGCTCAACCATAACAGTGTTGAGGATGTTTGAAGCAGAACCTTGGGCAAGTCCCTGGGGCCAGGCTGGGCCAGGGCTCTGGGGAGCTCTGGGGGATCCTCACTGAGGCACCTCCTGGGCTCTGCTCGGGCTGCTGGGCTGCAGGAATAGCAGGGGGGTATTTTTGATGTTGCTGAAGGGCTGGTGGTCTAAAGACAGGTTTAAGCAATCTCAGGCTTTTGGATGAAGCTCTTCAGGGGGGAATTCCACAGGCTGTTCTTCCAGAGGAAAGTGAGATTAAGGAGTGTTTCTTCTCCACTGTTTAAATCAGAGGTTGGGCACAGCAGAGAGCTGTGCTACCCCAGTGCAGGGAATCCCCTCCCACATTTATTCTCTTTTCCCCATGTGTTTGCAGTTGATCCAGGTGGGAGATCAGGAAGGGATTCCCAGCAATGGCTGCTTTTTAAGTCACATACAAGTGTTTCATGCTTAGCAAAAGCAGAGTTTTCCTGATGGGACATTCTGCTGTTATTGTTTACCTCATCAGGTTCTTGTAAAGGGATTTTGGGAGTTTGTCTCAAACTTGGAATGGTTTGAGTGGGAAGGACCTTTAAAGCCCACCTGTTCTAACCCTCTGCAGTGAGCAAGGACATCTCCAGCTGGATCAGGCTCCATGTACTTCAGTAGGACAAGGGTGCTTTGAGGGCAGGAGGATTTATAAAAGGTGTTGGATGACAGGGTCAGGTAGAGGATCCACTAACTCACTCTGAAATTATTACTTTTTGGTTAAAATAAATCAATAAATCTCCCTGTGCTCCCATGGGCAGTGAAACTGCCTGTTACACAGCACTGTGCACTTTGGTGCTCTCTGAGGGCTTGCTGCCTCCCTGGTTTTACATGGAAACAGGCACCTGCCCCTGGCTGGGGGCAGCCTTTTGGCACAGCCATCACTGATAGCCAGGACTTCTGATATCATGGTTTTTCTCATGGTATCTGCAAGCAATAGAGCAGGAATAATCAAATTTTAGCATGTGGAGCAGAGCCAGCAAAATGCATCTTCCAGAATGTAAATGCTCCTTCAGAAAAGCTCTGTCTGGATTTTTTAAGGCAGAAATGCTCTCTGGGAGAAATCCTGACACTCCCCTGCACAGTTTTGGGGTGGTGACAGTTCAGCAGTTGCATGAAACTTCTCATCTTTCTTTGTGGTGTTGAACATGCTGCTCATCTGAAACCACATCAGATCAGTGCCTGGGGCACATGCAAAGGGTCAGGGCCCAACTGAACACTACAAATTGCTCCTTTCCATGGCAAACACGAATTGGCAGAGCTGGAACAAGGGTAATTCCTGTTGTTCTCCAAAGGCAGCTTGGAGAGAGGTGAGGGCCAGCAGGGAGTGGGCCCTGTGTTGTGAGTTCTCAGCCCCGTGGTGGGACAGCTGGGGTCCTCATGCACAGGGAGATCCCAGTTCACAGAGGGTCAGGTCTGTACACTCAGACAACCAAAGTAGTTGCTCCTGTGAATAAATAATTTATCCAAACATGCACTAAATAACTTGCTGATGTGTGATATAGCCTGGAAGGAGAGGGAATGAAGGGGCACAGCCACCTCTGGGCTAATGACAGAGACATTTTGTTGGAATTGAGGGTGTCCTTCTGAACCAAGTTTTAATAATTTGATTGAAAAGCTGATTACTGGGTTTGTATGTATAATATGCCTCCAGGTAAAAATTTTTTTGTAGCTCTCTGAGGATTCATGGTGCTCTGGCAGCCTCCTCAGCAGCTCCCTTGGTAACCAGGGACACTGGCTGGCCACAGAGGAACTGAGCAGTGTGTGAGGAACAGAAATACATGAACAGAAACAGGGCATGTGCTGGGGGCTGAACATCCTGCTGGTCCACATTTTCACCTCTTAATTGAATGAATGTGTAATCAACTGATAGAGTGTTGGAGGAACTATGGTAGATATCAGTGATAAAAGTCTGAAAAAATCTTGCAGAAAAATGAAAGAGGGGAGTCTGTATATGTGGGATGTCAGAATTCTGGAAGGCTGTTTTCCCAGGGAATAAAAGTCTTCATTCTTTTGGAATCCGTGTGGAGGTTTAGTTGCACTGTGACCAAATGGCTTAACTTGGGCCTGGAAGGTGAGAGTCTTGTCCAGGTGTTTTAGCTCAGGAGTAGGGAGTCCTTTTCCAGCTGTTCTCACTGCCTGCTGGGTGATTCAGGGCAAACAGTGCTTGGTGGACTGCAGGTCAAAATCAAGCAATAAACCCTGCTTCTGTCATTTACAGCTTATTTAGTCTCAGCATTGCCACTCACTTGGGCTGTTGCTCTGGGCACAGCCCGTGATGCTGGCTCTAAGGAGGGATAGGCCTGTTTGAGAGTTGAGGCAATTGCTACTGCCAAAGACATTTCTATAGCAGAAAAAACTCGTGTTGCTAATTTTTACAGAATAATCCTCCTTGCAGTGTCTTCTCCAAGGAGTAGGTGGCCTGATGAATCTAAAGAAAGATGAAGTGTTTTGGAATCTGATCAGACCAGGAACAGTTAAAAATTCTTCAACTTCTGTCTGATCACCTGTAAAAGCTGAGAGTCCCGTTCCTTCACTGACCAATATCCCACTGGACAAGGTTGTGTATTCCCTGTACTTACCACATTGTGGATCTTGAAGAAGGAAGTTGCCAATGAAGAAAAAGTATATATAAATAATGGAAGAATTAAGCAAAGGAATAAAGTTCTGATTTATACTGTGTAAACATTTGAACAGTAACAGCACTGGAACCAGTTTTAAACTGCCCTATCAGGAGTGGTTGGTGTTGGTGTCCTGGTCAGGAGCTGCTGTTCCTGCAGCCTTACCTGCCCTTACTCCTGGTGGTACTGACATAAAAAGTGCATCAAAGCCTGTTTTTTCTGTCATAGTGGAGCAGTCAGATTGTCTGCCCAGTGCTTCAGTCCATCCAAGTCTGTCTGTGAGAGCAGGAGAGACTCAGGCTCTGCATGGATTTCATGCATTTCAATAATTTCCTCTTTATTACATCTCCAGCTCTGCCAAGGATACAGTCACACTTCTTGTTAGGTCTAAACGTGTGGCTGCTGTCATTTTAGACTCCTTTGATTAATATAAAACTTTTTTTTCCTCATTCCATGGCTATTGGTACCCACACAATGTGATTTATTCTTGGCCGTTGCTCATCTTGCCTTCAAAAGCAGAATATCTTGCAAGGGCTCACCCTTAAAGCTCTGCACATAACTGCACTTCAGTTACTCATTTCAGAGGTTAGTTTGCTCTTGCATTTTTCTGCACTTTTTAATCTGTGCTGAAACTTCCTGTTCTATGGTTCAAAAGACACTTTCTGGTAATTTTTGATTTTCACAGGAATTCATTGAGCCTTGTTTGGGTTACATGTTCATGGAGGAAAAGTCTCATTTTCAAAACGGCCAGGACACTGTCTGTCCACTGCTAATCTTTGTAATGTTAAACTCTGCCTGAACCTCCTCAAGGAATAAGCTGTTGTGTCAGGAAAAGAGTTGGCTGGAACGTGGCAGTGCTGTGAGGAGTGTTTGAACACGTGAGCACAGGAGGGGATCTGCACTGCTGGGAAATCCTGGCTATACCAAACTGCTCCACGTGGCTTTTCTTGGGTTATACAATTGCCTGTACATTTTTGGAAAATACTCCTTGGGAACTAAAATCTCCCACTGTTACAAACTTAAGGGAGATGGGCTTGGGTGTTTGAGGAGGGCAGTGCAGCTGTGCTGGACAGGCCAAAGCTTCTGTGTCAGCCGGGGCAGGGCAGGTTTTGTCAGCCAAGAGTGTCACTGTCTGGGGCTCTTTGTGAGCAGTGGTGGCCACTGGGTCAGTGGATGGAGGGAGGGGAGGTGTCCTGGTGGGGCTGTGTTTGTAGAGGTGGAGAACCTGTGTGGCTCAGGACAACTGGTTCTGTGAATGGTTCATCACATCAGCACAGTGTTCTGCCTAGTCTTTAGTGACTCTTA